CTTGTTTTACATTGGGAATCTTGTCAGCAGCAGTCATGCAGCTTTCAGCATGTAACTTGGGATCTGTGAACAATTTTTTACCTAAAGCTTACATGCACAAAATCTCAATTCCCACACACCACACTAATTCTCATTTTCAATTAGAAACATAATTCTGAAGTATGGATCCACCATTATGCAATCTTAACCAAAATGCCAAAAAAAAAAAAAAACACCACCAGAAATCAGTGTTTTAAGTTCAGGGTCAGTGGTCCAATGACAGCCAACATAAGGCACTCATTCATCCCTGCCTGGTGATGCAAGACCAGATGGCAACACCAGGCTACTCCAATATAAGTATTAGCTTGGCCACAACACAATCCTGCCCCAATCACCAGAATCAGCAATAATCACCCTCCAGTCTTGCCTTAACTGGTTCCAGTTAATTAAGTATCCAAAACACATATTCAAATTCAAAGCAATTCAAATTACTTCAGCATGCACTGCTTTGTATACCTGTCAACAGTTGTTTTTTTTTTAAGCCAGCAATGACTTATTCATAATGGACATTCAGAGACAGGTAAATTACTACCTCCTGAGAAAGGAGAAGATTATGAGCTTCATTCACTACTGCAAAGATATTCAATGCCTTGGATAGAAGAGAGTGCTAAGCATAGTTAATCACAGTTCAAAAAGGAAACTAGAGAACTCCAATATTCTCTCTTCTCTCCTACTCACAGGAAAGAGCACTACTCCACCACTAAATGCAGAATCAAGAAATTTGATTCCCTTCTCTCCTCCCCTCCCCCAACTCCAAAAGCAGAATGAGCACAGGAGGACTACCGTACTGCATAGCACCTGTGTAATTACAAATTACTTGCCACTTAATTAGACCCTTTCTTAGAGAGGAAAGGCAGACACATTCACACTATCTCCTCTCCCTAATTGGTCTCAGGCACTGCAGGAAGCCAGTCCCCAGGATCTGTCAGCCAGCCAGCCTACAGATGCTTCAGAAAGAAAACCAGGTCAGCATTAACAGGTTCACTTCTTTGGCTCTAGGCGACAGGTCAGCAGATCAGTGCCTGCTGTCTGCAGCTGGCAGGCTGCACTAAGTGAAAACAGTCCTTAAACATTGGCCTGAATTGCTGTCAAATCTGCACTTCTCTCCAGGTCTGGACAGCAAGCACACAACAGCTACAGCAGCTCAGTGTGATGCCACTGAAGCTAACTAAATCCATCCTTGTAAAGTGAAGGACAACTACAGGTGCTCCCTAAACTTGCTTCATTAAAACTAAGAGTCTCTCCAGGTCAACCTTACACCACAGGCATTGGGCCTAAGGACTGTCTTCCACTATAACCATATCAGATGCAGTTCAGGAAGGTCCAGGCCACGATTGGAATCTCTGAGCAGCACAGAACAGCCTACTCTCTGAATAAACATGTTTTTAAAACAAGTTCATGGAACAAGAATCCTCATTTTATATTTGGTCTCTCCTACGTGCTGCAAAAGGGAGAGGAAGCAAGAATGATAATGTTGGGTGGGGAAAAAGAGTCAGGTTGTGAAGAGCTTCTATTAAACAAGAAGTGAAGAACATGCTGTGTAGATATGAAGCTTAAAGTTGGTTGAAAGAAAAGCTCGACTCTGTACGTTAGAGAAACATGCTCACATCTTCTCCATACCATTCTATCTTACTACCCAAAGAAACTGGATGTTGACACAGTAACTGCACGTATGCAGCACTGAACAGTTTTCAGAAGATTTAATAACAACAGTGACAGATTCCCACTAAACAAGCTGATGCATCTTAACACACCCAGATGATGTTTCTTTAGCCCAGGCTGAGCCTGCTGGCCTGAAGCAGAAAGCAGTTTTCACAGCAGCAGGTGAAAGGATGCCACCTCGTGGGTGGTTGCGTACACTGTCATCAAAATAAACCCCCTGCCTTCTCACATACTGCCAACACTCAGCCTTCCAGTAATACCTTCCTGTTAAAATACATATTGCAGGTGGCAGTCAAGAAATCACACAGAAAACATCCCTGACCTCTAAGAAAATAATCAAGCCTGTCGAGATTCTGCTGATGAAGATGGTCAATAACAACTACACAAACATCATATTTTGTAGAAATACAAACTCTGTCAGCACAGCCTGGAGAAAGAGAACAAGCAGCACGTTTTCCCAGTGTTAAGCCTTTCCTAAGAGCAGACTCCCACAGTAGCCATCCTCAAAGACTAAGATCAAAAATTAGCAGTACTTTCTACTCACAAAGCAAGAATTTCAAAACACGCCTTGCTTTCACGAGTCTTACAGCAGGAATATCAAGCAAGACTGATACAAAAGAGACCCAGAAGTGTTCCTACAAAACAAAGTTACATCCAAGATAAAAGAACATTGGAAAGCAGGCAGCAAAAAAGATCAAGATATCAAGAGGACGTAACTGGAAGCAAAAAAGATCACATGGATTCATTATGTGTATACATGAACCACATGTAAGTATGGCACACATCACTTTCTTGGTTGGGCTCAGTGCAGCGTCACAATTATGGCATGTTTGGGTAAGGCAGGTATAATTCAGAAGGGCTGAAAAACACTGCACAACAGCATGCAAACACACTCCTGCATTAAAGCTAAAACAGATGAACTGTCACTATTTCCACAGTTTCTGAGAGCAATGGGAAAAGCCCAGATTTCTAGCACTAGAAACTGAGTACCTTCCCTCGCTGTAAGTACAAGAATCCAGAACTGGCAATCATAAAATTATTTGAGAAAACTGCTAATGAACATGATTTCAACCAAAGGTGAAGCACTATAAAACACTTAGCACTCATCTCCTTTTGGCAACTTTGAAAGAGCTGAAACAGTAGGATTAACACTCCACTCCTAAAAGCTGCATCTTCTTTCCAAGTGCTTTGCCTTAAAATTAGACTCACAGATCTGATCATAAGCCAATCTGACAGAAAGCCTGCTGGGACTCAGCAATCAGTGAACAGAACCATTGGGAGCAGACACAGAATAAGTCCTGTGGAAGTACTGCAGGAAACAAAAAAACCATCCTCTCCTAAAATGCCACAAGCTTTTGCAACTCCGTTACATTTTCTGTACTAAAGAAAGTGGTAAGAAAGCATGAAAAGTCCTAATGCACTCCTTCCCTTTGATCATGCAGTTACTAGCAAACACATCACACTGGCTATTTCAGACAACCATCCAACTTGCTCCTGTTTTCTTCTTCTACGAGATGGCCAATTAACTTCTCCTCAAGCTTTTCCCAACAGCATAATGGAGGAACCTGACCAGGACAGTGATCTCTCATCATCATCACCACACTGGCTGAAAATGAACAGAATTCATGGTGAAACACGTCAGAGCAAAAGGAAGGAAAGAAAAAACAGTGATGGGAGGAGATAATCACCCAGTTCTACTTGCTACGATCGTATGCAAAAGATGATTCTTCTCAAGAGCAATTCCCTTTTCTGTATCAGAAGATACCACCAATAGTGCTGAACAATGTGGCCCAATCAGAAACCCAACGCTTAACAGCGAATATTCTGATTTTAAATGAAGGAGTTACTAGACTTCAACAGGCAGAATCACTTGGTTCCATTTCTCTCCCACTGTGAAATTACCTCGTTAAACCTTTAACAGCTTGAGCTAAGTAAAAAGCTTTTACTCTACTGTCTGGTGGAGTTCTTTGAAAAGGGTCCATGCTTGTCCTGTCCATTCTCTGCCATTGGAGATGTAACCCAATTCTAATTCCATCTGAACACACACATCTTCATCAGAATGAAGGGGAGAATCTTCAGCACATCACCTACCTTCATACACCTAGAAAAGGGGTCGTTATCATCATTAAACAGAAAACATTGCAAGAACTACAGGGGCTTTCCTCAGCTGAACTCAAGTGTCTGTCACACGAAGCAGTAACGTGCCCAAATCATACATGCATACTCAAACACTCCTACTTGCAAATAATCCCTATTAGGCTGCAGGCATAACTCAGACACGTGTAATGAATGCAATAAAGAAACAATTGGTATAATTAAGTTTTGCAGTTCATGTTGCAGCTCAAAGCTTGAACCAATATTAAATGTGATCTGTGCAATAATTATATCAAAACAGCTCTTAAGCAAGAAGCATCAGTACTTCTAGCATAATAATGCAAACATTCAGGGAAGATAAAGCAGAGCTGAACCACACAAATACATCATACCTATTCAGAGAAACTTCTGCAGCAGAAGAAAAAGATCCTGAGATTCACCACTTCCAGTCTTTCATTGTACTATGGAGTTATTATGCTGTGCTGGCAGAAAGACCAGCACAATGAAAGGATGTTAGAAAAGGAGGAATGCTCACCTGTCTCCAAAGACCTGGGCTCACAGAAAAAACTCCACAGAGGAGGGATCTCCAACCAGAGATCCTTCCCCAGTGCCAGTCAGCCCTCAAATGAGGTCTAAGAGAGGCGCAGCCAGGCTGCATCCCTCCCAGTCACACAGCTGAATTGCTTGCACTTGTGCTCCTGTGGCTGACCAGGTCTTTTCTCCAGGTGCTCAGAGGTTCAGGCCATAATTCAGCAGTACCCATACATACATAGCAAAGACCTTAAAAAACCAGGTTTGAGGCTCCAGACATCAGAAATATAGGAGTACACGAAGAGATTGGCTGTCTTACAGAACACCAGTTGGCAGCTGTTTGTTTTCAATTTAAAAAAAACTGAGTTTATTCCATTTCTCCTGTTAAGTTAGGAGAACATCCACCTAAACCCCAATGAAGCAATATGCAAGAAGTTCAAAGAACTCAATTAAATCCAGGCTGGTCAAGATGACTTAATGAAAAACAAGTCTGTCCCCAAAGATACCTTATAGCAGGATGTATCTTATGTCTCTTTTTATACATAATAATAAGTATCAGAACAGCTTCTACATAAAAAGATAGTAAGAAAGCATCACACCACACTTGAGGAACCCAAATAACTAAGGAAGGAAAGTGTTTGAAAAGTTTTACCTCCAATGCATTGAGCTCATACCTGATATTCAAGCCAGTGCTCTGGTCCAGTTTCTCCCAGCTTTTTAGTTTTCCCAGAAGTTTCTGAAATATAAAGCGAAGGAAAGTTACAGACACAGCAGAACATTTCAACAGCTTGTTTCCCCACAGTTTTCTGATAATTCTCCAGTCAAACTCAGTGTACTCTCTTTTTTGTGTATGGATTTCACTATCTTATCTAGCACATCTGGGCTGTCATACTGCAGATGCTACAACCATTTTCCCAGACACCACAGCCCTGTTATACTGGGTGGAACCCACATCTTACTTCAGCATTTTATCTTCCACAGCAAAGCACAACAAAGATAACAGAATGGCAGAGCCCTGATGGGCTGCAGCAAGCAAAGATTCACACAGCCATAACAGCAAAGGGGGCACAGAAAGAACAGAAAATAAGCTTCTTACCTTCAAAGGCCGGGCAGGGATCTCCTGAAAGATCCCTTTGCCTCCACTGCCAACCCTTAAATGAGGACTGGAAAGGGGTGGATCCTGGCTCCACACCTTCTGGTCACTCAGCTGCATTGCATACACCTGAGCTCCCCTAGTTTGGCTCTGCCTTCCCACCAGGTGCTCAATCACTGCTTCAAGCCATGACTTAGCATTTCTGCTACACCACACCTGTGAGCAACTACCAATGTACAAGACCTTAGTAGATGAGACTTTGTAGAGGAAGAAAACAAGTTATATTCCCAACACTCACACTGCAGTAGCTGAAGCACACAATTCTCCACCAATTTCTTCTACAGCTTCTGTATCAGTACCAGAACATGTGAGCCAAATTTGACCAGACACCAATGTAGTTCTGCAAATTAGTAAGTCTGTACATTTAGTTTGATCTCTTGGCTTGACACAGGGTGGGATGAAAAAAAGACAGCTTTACTCAACTGAAACCACATTCTGGCCTTGGTAGTGCAAGGGAAGCAATCCAAGGGGGTACTGAGGTTCTAACCATACACATGCCCAGTAACACCACAGGCTTAATGCTCCCCCACCCCCCAAAATAAAGATGCAATAGCAAAGCCAAAAAGAACACTAAGATTGTAACAGACTCAGCTGCTTTTTATTCTTCACTCTCACACGTTGACAGTTAAGTTGGTGAAAGCCATGTTCACATTCACTGCTTTGAACGTGCCTCACGTAAGACAATGCAGGGAGAGCCTAGAGCACAGGCTGGGCAACAAAGGAAACCCCATTCTGCTCCTCCAAGTATTCTTAGCTCCTCACCTCATTTTCCAATTCAGCAGTCACTAACTGTGCTTGGACTTTCTCATAGCGTTCCAATTTTCTTTGGAGACCTTCTACTTCTTCTTTAAGCAAACCATTGTTTTCTTTCATTTCCCTGTGGTGAGAAGACAGGCAGCAAATGAAAAGTCACACAAGTCAGTATGTTCTCACAAACTTCCACATATACACGCAATTACAAGGGAGTAATATGACAGCATACATTACAACATTCAACTGACTCACTTCTATCATCTCCACTGCAAAGCTGCTGCTACCAAAAAAAAATTGAAGTTTTCCCACTACAAGCACCATCCTAATTACGTCCAAACAACCTGAAGTTTTGTATCAGCTTTGCCGATTGGCAAAACAGCATGAAGACTTGCAAGGCTCCCAACTGTGATCTTCAGCCTGGCTGAATGCAGGGTTGGAACACAGCAAGTGGTAGACAGTGCAGGTTTTTTGTAGTCTATGATGACTGAGCCAGTATTGAGACTGCTTGCTTGCATTTTAACAGAGCTGTGCAAGGGTGAGATAAACTCTTTCAAAAAAGAAAAGAACCACTTCTGTTGATAACATGGTTCTTCAGGTGCACAAAATAGAGTGAGAAAACATTCCAAGAGAAACAATTTAAAATGATTATCAGAGTAGGAGCAACAATAACTATGTAGTAATATTTAATGTTATTTAAATTTCAGTTACTTAATGTACAGCTTTCTTTACAGTTCTTTCTTTCCCAAACCTGTACAGAGTTCATCGCCATCTTTAAGCACTGAATATGGTTTTAATAAATAGATACTGCTATGCAAAGTTATCACTACGTATTGTGTGAGGCTTTCAGAGTGTTAGGGAAGATTAGCAGGTCTTGTCAAACCCTGCCCACAGTAACCATCAACCCACGTTCAGGATTTACATGAAATATTTCAACTTTCTTCTAAGGTTTCCCATATGAAAGTATCACATGCCACACTGTAAACCTGGTAATTCTGACAGAAGGGTTTGGAAGTGTACATAGTGGAGTTGTAAGAGCTGTAGAAGAACAGAAGGTAACCCCTCAACAACCGAGGCCTTCTTTCACCTGTAGTATGCATTTTCCTCCCTCAGTTGTCGCAGCTCCCGCTCCATTTTTGGGAAACGGGCCAGTTCTGTCTTCATGTTCTTGACGATAACAGCATCATGTTCCTGCTGGGAGAACTTCTGCTCCAGGTCCTGGAAGACAAGAGATGACAGAAGGACGGCCATGATTTACTTGGAACTCTTAAAAACTACATTTCCTCTGTACTTATGAACACTGGAACCAAACTCAGAACGCGCCTCAGTAGATCACACGGTCAAATCCACTGCTCAAAACAAGGACATTTGTTACATTTCTAACACATGGGCTAGCTTCTTCTCTACACTCTTCTGTTTACCCTAAGTTCCTAAGAAAAAAGTAATCTCAGTCAATAAAGCAACTTCATACTAAGCCAAAATTCAGATTTTCTTGTCCTCTAGCCCTCCATTAACTAAGTGTAAAGATGGACATTTGGATAGTCCTGAGGAATTCGGAATCAAAAAAGATATGAGCCCATCTCAGCATTATGGCAAACATTTTTATGGAGGTAGGGGACATTTATTTAGAGCTGTAACGTGGTTTGATACCTTGTTTTTCCACCTCTCTTTTTAACGGATTTGCCTACAGATGGAAGCCTCTCCTTACAATCACAGAATGAGCACTGAGACTATCTCTCAGCACAACTTTACAACAACTACAAGCAAAGCAGGTCCTTAGGAGGAAGTTTTTCCACACACAGGGTGGTGAGGCACTGGCACAGGTTGCCCAAGGAGGCTGTGGATGCCCCATCCCTGCAGGCATTCAAGGCCAGGCTGGATGTGGCTCTGGGCAGCCTGGGCTGCTGGTTGGCAACCTGCACACAGCAGGGGGTTGGAACTGGATGAGCATTGTGGTCCTTTGCAACCCAGGCCATTCTGTGATTGTACGATGCTATGAAGTCATAACCAGCATCCACTCAGACCAAAGCAACCCTACCTCCTCCAGGAAGATCAAAAGCAAGTGGAAAAGACACACCAACATACAAGGTAATTTGAAAGGACATAAAATACCTACGCTTACATTTTATTGTGATTTTGAAAGCTTTGCAAGCAGTTGCAGTTTATGAAAAGAGCTAACCTCAACTCCAGAGAAAGGATTTTCTGGGAAGCAGAAACTACAGCTGCTAGGTTCATTCTCCAGCATTTGAGCAGGGGAAAGAAAAAAAAAAAACACAAAACACCACACCAGGTTGCTCTAGAATACTAATGCACTGGGCTCAACATCAAACAGAGCATTCATCCAGAATACTTCTGCTCTGACACTGAAGAAGATTTTAAAGAAAATCAACACAAGGTTCATACAGACCCAGTGTCTTACCTTAATCTTCTGTTCATATTCTGCCAGTAGGGACTGGCTTGCTTGCAATGTCTGGATTTGCTGAGTAGCCTCTTGCCATTTCCTATTAGACACAGACAAGAGATTTAGCACCCAGGAAATATGTACCAGAGAAAGACACATGTGACACAAACATTTCCAAATACTGTTAACAAAGTGTTTGGTACTGTTATATAAGATCACCTCACACTCAATCTTCCTGTAATTCAGAGAGAAAAAAAAAAACAATTTCTTCACTGAAAAGAAATATTCCAAAAAAAAAAAATATTCCAAAAAGTCAAGCCTCTTTTATTCTGAAATCAATAAATATTTATACACAGTAAATAAGGAAAACCAAGGAAAGCAAAGAAAAACACACTCATCTGTCAAGTACCCCTCACCTATGATTTACGGCTTGATATTTTTCTTCTGTTCAGTCTATAAAATTCAGATCAGCCTTTCCCACCCACCTGCCTTCTGTTAACTCTCCAGTATGAACATGAAACATCAGTGAGAGAGATTTTAAACTTGAGGTTTTTTTTCCTCAAGGTACAAATAAAATTCTCCTAAGAGCTACTTTCAAACAACACTTATAACCTGCACATCCAGTTCAAAGAATCCCTTTGAAGAGTGGAAATCAAACAGCGTTGAAAGGTTTTTGAGTGACAACAGCTGCATAAGACTCAAGTTTTGTTTGCTTTTTTCTCCTCATAGTTATTCATCTTCTGCTTACTTATGTTGAACATCCAGCTGTTCCATCAGCTCTTGCTTCTGCGAGTCTTGGCTTGTCATCTGCATCTCCTGATTCATTATATTCCATTGTAGCTCAGATATTTTCCCTTTTAATATAGTGATCGTCTGCATTAGTGGGAATAAAGAATAAACGGGAGATTATGGATTGTAGTACACAGAACTCACATCCAACTAATGATTCCAAAGAATGAACTGTAGGTAACTTCAGTCTCATCCACACTACAACTCCCCCAGTGCCCCTGAACAATTTCAATCTTAATATCTCCTCCCTCACCTCCTGCATTCTTTATTCAAAGTTGATCTGACATCTAGCCACACATTTCTTTTTTCTGTAAATCAAAACAGCCATTTTCCATTCACAAGAACTGCAAAGTCACCTGAATCTATAAACGGATAAGAAAGTTATTCTGTTCTTACTTCATTAGCTTCAGCTAATTTGCTCTCCTTCTCTTGCAGTTTCTTACTCATTGTCTCCATACTCTTCTTATAGGATTTGTTCATCTCCATTTGTTCCTTCAGTTTATTTTCAGCTTCTGTTTCCCTTTCCTGGTACTGCTTTATGCGTGTGAGCAGCTCCTGGTTACGGTCAGCCTCTCGCTTGCAAAGAAGAAAAAACAACATGAAAAGACATAGAAAACCAGCACAAAGGTGAAGCTCTTTTTGCCTCCCTCACCTCTGCTCCTCATTGCTGTGGTCACCACAGCATCACCATGAAGCCATGTTACCTACACCAATAGCTAGTGGAAGGGTTGAAGGCAAGGACAGGACCAGCAGCTCAATGCCAAGGAACTCCTGGCAGTAACAAAGCTAAGAAACAGACCCTTGCTCCCTCTGTTAGAGGCATGAATCCTGGAATGCAGACATGGCCTCACAGACTCCACTGCACACTCCACAGCAGATCAAAGATGAGAACATTCCATGCTCTGGTTTGCAATTCAGCCACACATAGCAAGTGGACTTTCAGAACCTCAGAGCTCGGTAGTTGGGTCAGTAAGACAAACTTCCCTCTGCAACTTCTGGCAGTTGTATGAGGTTATTTAATGCAGAAGCAAGCGAAATTAAACGCACAGTATCATCAATGAACACAACAAACCTTTTTGCACTCTGACAATCTTTCATACACCTTCTCAGTTTTTTCCTACCACAAATTGATTAACGCTTATTTGAAAAATCTGTAGTAAATTGCTTTGCTAATCAAAGCAAATCGAGACATGGATTTACATAGTAAGTAAGGATTATGCAAAGCAGCTTCCTAAAACCTTCATTCACATGACTCAAAAAAACACAGAATCTGAGCAGGGTGATTAGCACAGTGCTGGATTAGTGCTGCTCCCTTTTCTGCACTAGTATTTCAAGGGTTTCTGTGACTGACTCAGCTAGATTCCAGTTTGAACTCTTCATGGCTTAATCCTGTATCACCTGACTTCAACAGGAGCGAAGACTTGAGTCACTGACCCACTACTTCACAACCACACGCTAAATCCATCACCCAACACTCTTAAAACACAACAAAACATGCTTAAAAGAAGTCATTCTAAATAATCAGTTGCATGTAAGACCTTTATTATCATGCAGAACCCAGAGCTCTACTGCCACTTGCAGTGACAAAGCTGAGCAAACATATATGGGCATAAAGTCAGAAACCAAGAAAAGCTATTAGTCCCCGAGTGAGGCTCACAGTCTTATCAATGAAAGCTCTCATGTGACAGTGCACGGTTGGCACTGCTGCCATTCCAATTAAATTACAGTCACAAAAATGAAATACTTGCAATTGTGCCAGCAGAAGTTTAAATACACTGGGGAGAAAAAAGTGCTTAAATATTTCCAGGAGAAACAAAGCACAAATCCCTTTTTGTTACTGCTACCCATGACAATTCCAACACGATGCTAACAAAGCCCAGTGATCAGATCACTGCTCACTGAGCAAACAACGCTCTGACATTCACACAGGATTTGTGCACGTTAGCAAGTAGCACCAGGCATGCACACCATATGCTCCTCAGAAGCCTTCCCTACACATGAGTTCAAGTCTTGCTCTGCAGACTGAGTGCTCATTAGCAGCTGGAGAGCACTTGCTCCTGGACTGCATCTTTTAGTTTAGTTTCATCTAAAAAGAGTCTGGTATGCACACCCTGAGACACAGCACTGCAAACCAAAGCGCAGCACGCGAGAACAGCCAGAAGCCTTTCCCTGACCCAAACTAAAACACCAACACAGAACACCACACGTTCTAACTCAGACCCACGATAACAGACCATCTACGGTTGTTCTTCTTACCTCATAGTTTCTGGCATTAGTGTTAGCTGCCTTCTCCAGCTCAATGCGAGCTCGTTTGTGGCTAAGCTCCATCTGCATCTTCTCCCGTTCCACCTGCAGGAGCTGCGATTTGGAATGGATCTGCCCAGCTTGTTCTTCCAACTGGCCAGTTCATACGTGAAAAGAGACAGCGCGCATCACTAACAGTGCTGCAATAATACTGCTACCCCCTGCTCTGTACTATCCAGCTGATAGTTGCATAGCATTTCACAAACTAAAAGGCAATTGTCACCACATTTGTGGTGCTTGTCCTCTCACACCAGCTGCAGATCAGGAAGCCAAGGCCAAGAGCTCAACCACACGCCCAGGAACCTGAATCAAAACAGCGTTAGCTGGAAGGACGCGAATTTAAGTTCTGAATTTCGGTTTAGAGTTTCATGCAGGATTCCTCATTCCATCTCTAGAGGTACTTTATCTGACAAAATGTATTCCTCTATCTAAGAAAAGTGAATTACAAAATTACGAATTACAAAAAACCCCCCAAGCATTATAAGACTAACAGCAGCTACCAATAAGCAGAGATCAGGCACCCAATTAAGTGTAAGCGTGGAGCAAAATAACGTGTTTTCTTTTTTCTATGACCCGCTACAATATGACACTTCAGATTAAATTACTTTACAACACACACATGGTTGGCACTGCTGCCATTCCAATTAAATTGGAGAGGTATATTACAATACCTCTCTTCTAAGCAGTGACATTTTACATCACTGGTGGAGGTGGTGCAACCAGAGATGCACCACTGGCAGAAAATCCACACATTTTTTCAGTACTTTTAATATTTCAAATGTAAAGCAGTTTTATATTAAAAGGCAATGATATCATACTATTATCTAGAGCCCTACTTAGAAATCATACCAACATACAGAAACTTTATTGCAGCATAATAGAGCTTACGATGCAAGATGTCAACTTATCACATGCTGTAAGAGCAAAATGCAGCTTGCAGGAAAAGTCAAGATGACTTGGGGATACAGAGAGAGGCAGACAAGAAGGCCCAGCTGAATGGCACACTAAAGCCACAGCAAGTCTCTTCCATGTCTCCACACAAGGAAAATTTAAGGTAAATAAGCGACTTACTGGAATTACATTAACAAGTACAAAGATTCTAGAACATTCTCAGAAAATAAATCTCTGTTACTGAGCATGCATGAGTAGCAGTTTTATAAAGAATGGTCATATCTTAATGAAATAACCCCGATGCTTAGAAATGCAATGCTTAGATGCAAAGGAGGCTACAGCCATACAGAAGAGAAGCTGCAGGCACCAGCACGCTGAGGACACCTCACCTGCACCCTCTGCTGGTACTGAATCTGCAAGGAGCTCTGAGATGATGCTGGCACAGGCTGCCCGGACACCCCCTCCATACGCTGTGAAATGAAGTTGTTGAAGGATCTCAAGGTGGAGAAGACAGTGGTATTACCTTCTAAGTCTTCCATAGCTCTGGAAATACATAAAAAGTTATCAGTGAAGCATCCAGAGCAATCTGGAGTATACAGATGCTCTACTAAAAAAAAATATATATATATATATATATATACACATCTGCCCTAAGATGACACAAAATGCAACATCTTCCATCTTACATGGCACAGAATCTAACCTGCCTGCCACTGCTGGGGTCACCTCAACCAGAAAACACCACACAACTGAGGCAGAAGTTGTAGATCTCTGGAATGAAGAACTGAGGCAAAAAAAAAAAAAAACTGTCCTCTTCTTGGTGTTATAACCAAAGTGGTTTGCTTTTATTTAGATACCGAATCTCTGCAAGTTAATATACAAACAGAAGTTGCCTTAAGTTACACCAAAATGAGCTCTCCCTTCCTCTGTAAGCAGGATAGATTCAGGGATACAAGTTAACACCACAGGACAGGAAGCTCTGCAGCACATCACACAAAAAGAACTCCTTACTCTGCCCCAAAAACAAAAAAAGGGCTGGGGCAGGAAGAGAATAAACCCCACAAGGATAGCAAGCTCTGCCTTGTATGCAGCCTGATTCTGGTTTCCAAACAGCACTTTGGTATGTAACTTTCAACACGTCTCACCCCTCGGACAGACCGCTTCCATCAGCGAGAGGTAGCTCCTTGTTCATGTAGAAGTTTTTGCAAAACCTTCCTTCAGATTTGCAATAGTACTAAAATGGCCACAAATGCATCAAAGCTGGAGGTCAGAGAGGCTGGCAAGGCGCTCCCAGAATGCCTGGGGAAGCTTTAAGTGAATTCCTCTGAAACTGCAAGCCCTACAAGTCCCAGAAGCACAAAAGGAGGCTAGGCCAGGAAAGGCACCGGGTCACACACAGACTTACAGCAGCCCAGGCTCAGGGCTGACCCTCAGGCCCACCAGCTCACGGCAATAACACTCTTTGGACTCACGTCATCACAAGGAGCCGATACAACAGAAGCACGCTGGGAAGAGGTCACTCAAAACTCAAACGAAAACGTTTATTAGAAACAAGCTCTGCATTACCACGCACGACAGGACAACGCTGCCAACAGGCTTCCAGCAAACCGATCTCAAACCGGGCGCGGGGAGAACAGGGACAGCACCAGCAAACAAGTCAGGCACGCCCTGCTGCCCTGCTGCAAAACACCACCGTTTGTTTTATTTTTGTTCCGTGCAGCGCCCCACAGCAGCCCCCAACCCCACCTCGGCGCGAGCAGCCGAAGGACGGGCAGCACGGGGCGAGGGGCTCCGTCCGCGAGACGGCAGAGCGAGGCACAGCCGTGCCCTCCGCTAACGGGACGGGAGCACGGGGACGCGGCGCTGCCCGCCGCGCTCGCTCCCATAGCGCCGCCTTCAGCCATGGGCGAGGCCAAAGGGCGGAGGCGGGCTGCGGCAGGCAGTGCGGTGCGGAATCCCCGGGCGCAGCGCTGCACGCCGCCTCCCCGCCGCTCCCCCTCCACCCGCACTCACCGCCGCTGCCCGCTTGGATCTCCCTCCTCGCCCCGCCGCCGAGATCTCACGCGAACTCGCGCCCGCCTCTCGCGAGAAGAGCGGCCCGCCACGCCGTAATGACGGCACGAGGCGCGCAGCTCATGTTCGTACCGTAATGCTCCGCCCGGGTCGCGGCGCGGCTGTGTGGCGGCGGGCCGGGCTGTGCCGAGCCTGCTGGCAATCGTGTGGAAATGAAAAACGGAAGTTCACAGTAGTTGCCATCTGATAAATCCGCGAGCCATTCGAAATGGTATATTTATGACGAGGAAGATGCGGAAGCCCCTTTTACAACTCCTGGCACAGCCAGCCCGATAGCAGCGCTGTTTAATGGAGGAGCCGTCGCTTCCAGATAAGACAGTGCCCAAATCTATTTTTGCAAACTGAACTCTGGCAACTCAATCACGGTTTTATCAGTAGTTCTACCTGTCTGGGCTCTAGGAAAATCTTGTCATTTTGCCTAATAAGCATTACTGGTCAGCCATAAAACGTTACTGAGAACGTAGGCAGGAATTATCTCAGCTGCGGCAATGCTGCCCTGCTGTCACTGGATTTATGAGCACAGGGAAGTAGCAATTTCTAAACGTAAGCTGTATCTTTAGGAAATGCAGCAAAGCCATCAGCTGAATACTCCAGGGCCAGAGCCGGACATTTGAAATGTCTGCATTGGAGACTACATGTGACAATGCAGATTCTGACGTGCACAAAAACACTGTTTTGATGTGTGCTAATAAATGACATCAGCTTTTAGGAAAGATGAAGAGGAAATAAATTGGCTCAACCCCCCCCCCAGCCAGCCCCTCTCGTTCTGACAAGCGCCTTTATGGTTAGTCTCAAATCTGACAGCATTAGAAATGCAATGATTTTCAAGCACACGTTAAGAACTCATAAAATCACTGCTTTATTTTCATTTCCATTACAACAGCCCCAGAGGTTGCCTTTCAGATTATTGCTCTCCATTATTGCTCTCCATTCCCAACTGTTTTCTCCACAGGTGTGAAGCTAGATTGGATGTCTCTGCTTGTACAATTAGTGGATAAACTCAGTGGGGCAGCACCCTGGTTTTATTTTCATATTTGAAAAGCATGATGTACTTTGTGAGAATTGCAGCAGATTTCCCGAGGTTGTTCTCAGCAATCTAATAGTTCAAGCTGGGGATCTTCATGCTGGGAGTTTTCTTTAAACACATGCCACGTTCAGATTTCCAGTCTGTCTCTGATCACTTGTTTGATATTCTGCATTTCCCAGCTTTCATTTCCCTTTGTACAATCTTGCCAAGTAATAAGATTCAGATGAGTCCTTCCGACTGGCCTGAGGCTTTATAGTTCTCACGTCTTGGAACTGCTCCTTCAATTTGTTTTGAAGAACACGGGACTCATGTCCATCCCAGAATTTACACAGTATTGTCCCTTTTGGCTTTAAAATACTTTGTGACAGATTCACAAGGCCTAAACACAAACTGATCAACTTCTGATGATCCAGCTCTTTAATGCCTGTTGCATTCGGTGCCATGTCACTCAAGATAACATCCACCTTCTTTGCAGGAAGCAGATTCTGAATCGCCCTTTGTGTGCTTGGGTCTGTAATGTCAGCCTGTGACAAGAAGACTGCGCCTTCCAGCGGGGCAATCCGTAGGAGGTCAACTCCAAGGACGAAGCCAGTAGGGGCAGCAGGATCTAGGTTGTAAGGATGAACATCAAATTGAATTCTTGCGCTTGAAAACAACTTGCATATACATGAACTCCGTTATATTCAGTAAACAAAAAGTTATCACTGCCTGCCACAGACTTCCTGCCCATCCATAACTGCTTTGCTGCATGCAATGATATGGTCTGCTACTAGTCAAAGCACTTACAATGTTAAAACCCAGTTACATCAGATAGGCAAGAGGTAGTCCTATTGTGTTTTGGGGAGGTTTTTTGTTTTTTTATTTTTGCAAAGCTGGCAGTATAATCCAACAACAGTACACATGATAATGCTTTTCCTTATGAGTGTCTCAAAACACACAAACCACTCCCCATCCCAAACACCAAAAATGTGCACTCACCAGTACCTAAGGCATTGACTCTCTCTACAGCAACCTGACTCCAAGCACCAGGTGCCGCTCCACAGTCAAGAACGGAAAGTCCCGGGCGGAGAATATGAAGCCTGTCATCTATCTCCAGTAACTTGAAGGCACTCCGGCAACGGTAATGCTGCTGTTTCGCTGCCTTGACGAAGGGATCCCTCAACTGCCGCTCCAGCCACCAGTTCTCTGCGGCAGTTTTCTTCTTCAGGAGCCTCACTGCGCTGTGCAGACAGCTGCGCTGCAGAGGAAGGCTCAGCAAACACTGACAGCTGCCCAAGGAGAAAAGTGACAGTCAGATCGTGCACGGCCACAGCACAGGTTTCTGAAGCACGTACTGATTCATTTCCACCCTGAACATGGCTCCTCCTTTCTGTCACCACGCTCACCAAAAGCCTCAGAACTTCAGAGATTCCTGGCCTCTTCAGTTCCCTGCTCCACTTACCACAAGAAGAGCCGTAATGGGGATCAACATCTCACTGGTTACCCCCTGAACCAAGGGGGAAGAAGGGGGATCTCATTGCTGGAGCTCTGCAGCTCTCCTCAGGTGTTTTCTGTTCACATGGACACCTGGTGCTGTGAACAAGCCCTAACGAGTCCGCCAGCCGTGTCACGGGGCTGCACAGCCTGTGTGCCAGCAGCAGAGCTGGGCTACGACCTCACCACCAGCTCCAGCTCACGCTCCTCACTGACCCCAAGCGCCGTGTCAGAGATGTGAGCATGGCTGAACGTCACCTTCCTGAAAGGCTTCTAAAGCCGAGAATCCATCGTCTTAAGGGGAATTCCAGTGCTCTTACGGGCAGTTGGGTCACGGAACCACGCTGTACCACCCAAGCCCCTAAGGCTCACAGCGGCGTCCCAGCGCTCCCTGAGCTCCGGCAGTTCGGGCCGTGCTCACCGCCCCTCCCCTGGCAGCTTCGCGCCGTTCCCCCGGGCCATGGGTGCCGGTCACCAAGGGACGGGCCCCGCAGCTCCCAAGGCGCAGGGACGGCAACCCCGAGCCCGGCTCCCGGCTCCCCGCCACGCACCGCGCTCCGCACCACGCCATGGCGGCCGCCGCCTCCCGCCCCGCGCTGAGGCGGAGCTGAGGGCGGAGCCGCGGCCGATGAGGCGCGGGAAGAGCCGGGCGCGGGGAGAACGGGAAACCGTGGTGTTTGGGGCAGGGCCGGGAGCGAGGGAATACGGGAAGGTGAAGGGAGAGCAGGGGGAGCGGCGAGCTGGAGGGTCCGTGACGGGGTGGCGGTGCGTGAGGCGCCCCGTGCTGTGCGGAGGGGCTCCGCTGCGCCTCGCGCCTCCTCGGCCCGCGCGCTGCCCTCAGGCGCCCCGCGCGGCGCGGCGCCATGTCCGCCTCCAGGCTCTTCACCCTCGTGCTGGTGGTGCAGCCGTCCCGCGTCCTTCTGGGCATGAAGAAACGCGGGTTCGGGGCCGGGCTCTGGAACGGCTTTGGAGGAAAAGTGCAGCCGGGAGAGAGCATCGAGGATGCTGCGCGCAGGTGAGGCCCGGCCTGGGAGAGGGGCGGAGGGAGTCGGGCGCTCCTGGGGATCCGTAGCGGCCCCGTAAGCGCCGTGCCGCCTTCGCACGTCCGTGCAGCGCTCCTTCCTGCACGCAGGCGGCTCAGCACCGCCGTTACGGACCATCCCGGCTCCCCGTCACCTGGCTGCTGCAAACCTCCGAGCGTCTTCCATTCCACGAGTAATTGCAGCTAGCAAGCATCCTCCCTGCCGCCGTCCTGAGCCGCTGACACCTATTGCTCGAGCAGAGAGCAGAGGCTCTTGCGACGTTCCTGTAGATGCACCGTTCTCGTTTGGCCGTATAGCGGCGTTGCAGCTTATGGCAGTGAGCTGCTGCTGCCTTAAAGGTGCTAAATTCCACTTACATTTTTAGTAGTCTGTGAGAAGAACTTAGTGAAGAATACTAGGAATTTCACTTGAAGGTGCCTCATGAACAGCACTGTAGAAACTGTTTCACTGCATGCAGGCACTGAATTCAGGAACAGAATTCTGTCATTCCAGGACAGCAATGGTTCACTGCAGGACTTTCTTCATTTTAGTCACTGAAATGAAACAGCAGGTTCTATCTTCTTGTTTACACGAGCTTTGCAGATACAAAGCTGTGCTTTGCTACCTCCTTGATCTATCCCCAACTTTACCTTTGCACCTGCAGGAAGTTTAGTGTTGCTTAACAGATTCCTAACAGCTTTTGCACTGTTTCCTCAGCTGTGTCAGTGCAACCGCCGGGGCTGTGTGGTGAGTGAGCTCATCAGGGGGAAGAGGCCTCTGTCTGTGTGAGCAGAGCACCGGGTTAATGCGGCTGGTGCTTACATCGTGTCTACCTACAATTTATCATCTCTGAGTTGAGGGTAGGAGATCTGTCTCACTACTTAAATCAGGCCTTCGTTTGCTCATGTCATCAATGAGTATGGAGTGAGATGACTTGATTAATTTAGAATTTGATTTCCCACACATGTATTCATCTGTGCTAGCTTGGGGTTTAAAACTGGAGCTGTAATTCCCACGAGATGCTTGGTGGTGGATGTTCCAGCCATCTCAGTGCAATGTGACACAGCAGAAACAACGCCTGCTGCTGCAGACCGTGACACAACCTGCTCTGCAGCCATTTCTTCAGAGCTCGTTGGAATTGAGTGCAGAATTATACCCCTGACTCCTGCTCACGTCAGCTGAGGAGAAAGCAGACCCCAGAGACAGGGCCAGCTGGGCACGCTGCCCTCCTTCCTGACTGGGAGCTGCACCAGCACGGGGCTGCCGGCCCTGGGACAAGTGTGGGTTCAGCTCTCCTCCAGGAGGTGTCGTGCAGCCCAAGTAAAACTTCACCGCAGCGCTCTGCTTTGTGGCAGGACTTGAGCTGTTAGGCTGTGGTTGCCTCAGCTGGCAGTGGTGTAACCTGAAGTTAATCTTTACAGACTGGACTGCTAGGTATTAAGCTGCAATGAGAACAGAGTGCCCTGAATGATCACTGTGCTCCGCTGAGTCCATCATGTTCACACAGGCGCCTGGGCGCTCACAGCTATTCAGTGGCACATCCTGTAAGGAAAGCTGTCAGCTAGTGCAATTTCTCCAGTTTTCTATCCACTGCAGTGTTTGTGTTTACTATATCCAGAGCCCAACAGCTCACAGATAAATTATTGAATAAACCACAGCAGCGTTGTGCTTATTGGACCTTTACCACAGCCTGTGAAACGAGGCTTTTAGTTTTCTTGGTTGAAAACTGCCTCTGTTTTTGGCATCATTTTCTGGGAATATCAACCAGAATTAGCTAAGGCATCAGATTGCAGTACAGTTTTGAAGGATGGGATCCATGAAACTGATGCCAGAGAAAGCTGGAGCCTTAAAAATCATTTCTGTTTTGAAATTGTCGGGTTTCTGCCAAATGTACAACTGCGTTAGTTATTATCTTTATCTGAAGATAGTTCAAAGTATCCCTTACCTTTGTAGGGAGTAGACTAACCAGGACAAGTTTCAAGGTCTCTTAGCAGCAGGTTAAAAAAAAAACCAACATGAGCGTGTGGCATAGAAAGAAAAAGTGATTTGAAGGGCTTCAAGTGGCCACGCGTGGTAAGGCCTTGGAAAGAGCTGCTTGGCAAGTCTCACAGACTGCTCTTAGAAGACTTGTCTCTCAGCCTCTCTCTGACACGGAAAGTACTTCTGAGGAGCAGAAACTGAAGGTTTACATGATTATTTTGTGGTTTTGATATGGCTTTTAACTGGGAGGTCACACAGTGCATACTGTTACTTGCATGAGCTTCACTTTGCCTCAGAAGTCGCCGATTTTTGTAGCAGCATAGATGAGATGCTCTCACGTTCCTTATTTGTGTCACCACAGTTCTAAAAGCTTTAGCCTGATGTTGGCAAAGCCTTCTGCTCGTCTAAACAAAGCTCTTCTCAGAGTTCTTAAGCCACATGCAGCTTAACACATTTGTGATAGCCCATTTCTAAGTAACCTCAGGAAATACCATCCTCTTGCATGGAACATAAGCCCTACCAGGTTGTCTCTGTTGGTGAATCCTCCCCCTCTAACAGAGTACTTTCCCCATGGCCTCTATAGCACACTGAGGTAACTCATGAGTCAGTCTGACATTGCTCCAGTCTGGTGCCAGTGGGCTACGTAGTGTGATGTGAGCCAGAACTCTGCTTTGTTGCAGGCACAGGAGGAGTTCTGGACGTAGTGTAAAGTTAACGGCTGCTTTTTGTTCTCCCACTGCTTGCTTTCCTATAAAAACGCCTGTTTTTTGTACAGGGAGCTCCTGGAAGAGAGCGGGCTGACTGTGGACACCTTGCAGAAGATGGGTCAGATCACTTTTGAATTTGTAGGCAACTCTGAACTGATGGAAGTTCACGTTTTCCGAGCGGATCAGTTTCATGGAGAGCCAAAGGAAAGCGATGGTGGGTAACTCACAGAGCTGACGTGTGTTTGCTTTTGAAATGCACTGCTCATACATAAATGCAGAACTGTTCCTGCAGAAATTCCAGAGGAGGGAGGCAGCGGGGCTGTAACCCAAAGCTGTTTGTTGACACAGTGGAACTCCAGGTGGCAAAAAACCATGAGAAAATTTCAAACAAAATTGTTTTTTCCTCCAACAGAAATGCAGCCTCAGTGGTTTCAACTGGATGAGGTGCCGTTCAAACAAATGTGGCCAGATGATGTCTTTTGGTTCCCGTTGGTGCTTCAGAGAAAGTTGTTTCGTGGCTACTTTAAGTTCCAAGGACAAGACACCATTGTGGAACACACCCTGAAAGAAGTGGAGGAAGTTTAAGAGGAAGGCAGAAGCATTCATTCCACGTGCTGCTGCCCACATTGGGCTGGGACACCACGAGTGCTTCCAGGGGGCTCCTTTCTCAGCTCCCCCACAAGAAGAGGCTGACTGCCAGCTCACAGGGAAGTAAAGAAAATAAGGGGATTTCTTAGAGCAGAAATAAACATAGTAAGAATTTCCATGCTGTGAAGTCCCTATGATATGCCTGAGTAGTTACTTGATTACAGCTCTCAAGAAACGGAGGGCTAACAGGAAGTTCTCATGTTGTTAATATATTTGGGTTTTCCATCATGGCTAAAAACATTTTTAGAAAATTAAAGTGTTTTTTCAGCAAAAGCATGTGTTGTCCCATTGTAAACAGCTGCCAGGTTTCTGGATGGTTGATGGGCTTCTCTGCAGACTGCTTCCTTTTATAGAAGTATGTTTGCTGTCTCTTTCAGGCAAATAGCAAAAGCTATCGAGCATCTTCTCTGTATCAGCTTTTATGCAGTTCCATATTCAGCATTATTTCCCAGGAGAAAGCAAGGCTTGGTAAGTGCTGTGAGAGCCCTTGGAAAAGCTCTGGTAGAGCTCCCTTCCAGATTCTCCAGCTCAGATTTGCATAAATTTGTACAAGTCAAGAAAACTCCTGTTTGAGCTCTGCCTTCAGTGTGCAGTTCCTCCTGTCAGCTTGGATATACAGACAGGCAGAAACACACTGAACAAAATCCCACCTTTCAGCAACTCCATGCTACAAAGTGCAGTGCACCCATGGTTGCAGGCTGTGCCACATGCCTGCAGCCTGTGAGCTGACAGCTCTCAGATCAGCCCAACTCAGCATGGTGGACAGTGAAATACACATAGCACTCTGCTGGAAATATCACATATGGAACTTTATAGGTCTTTTGTTTTCTTTAAACATTTTTACAAACACACGTAACAGAATCGTGGAATGTCATATAGAATCTGTAAACATTTCCAGTCTACCAGCTGTAGTAATAGGTCTTTAATTCCTGCATTTGGATAAAGTGCTTCATACATAAGGCTATTTGAGCAAAGCAAAGATACAGGATATTCCAGGCAGGCAGATTCATACCCTCTGAACAAGATTGTTTCTTCTCCTCTCCTCCCTGCAATTCTGAATCACACACATCACACAAAAAACGTCCTACTTCATCTGCTCCCTAAGCCACAGCTCAGACTTAAAGGATAGGAGTTATCTTATATTTTTTTTCTTTTTTTTTGTGCTGCACAATGACTATTTACAAAGCTTTTGATACTCACCTGTGTTTCTGACATAGCTGTATGAGTTTCTGGCTGTTCTAGTTCAGAGAATGGCTTGAGGCAAGGAAGGGAGAGAAAGTGAGCACAAAGAGGTGAGGTTGTTAGTAATGGGATGTAAAACCTCACTGCATGGTAGGAAAGGGAGTGACTGGCAGCTGATACCTCTTGTGTTATCCCAATTTATTTCCTGGTGGAAACTGTAAATCAAGAGCGAACAAATTACATTCTCTTGCTCTGGGAACGTGGATAAGAAAAGAACAAGCACAGCCCAGGCCTGCACTTGCATTTATTATGCAATCAGTTCAATCCTTTTATGAAGGTGCTTTCACCAGCACGGAGTTTTTGCTCATAAGTAGTGACTATTGCTTGTGCTGCAGGTGTGGAGACTGCTTACATCCCCAGCTAGTATTTTGTCTTTTAGGAGCAGCAAAAAGTGGAGACCATGAATTAGTCTGTAAAAATGCCAGGAACTGCACCCCTGTGTGATCAGAGTAGAAGAGTAAAAGCACGGGAATGCAGCAAGGCACTGTTGGAAACATTACAAAGAGCAGCTTTCAAAGAAGGGGGAAAGAGGAAAAGAAGCGAAGATCAAGGTTGTATTGTAAATGTAGTCATTGGGAAAGCTTTTCAACATGCAGTGTTGGTCAAAAAGCCTGAATAGTGCCAGTCACAGCTTAGAGCAGGGGTGACCTTAAGAGTGACAAAAACACATAGCCCTTCTGATAAGACATTTTTCCAGGTCCCCATTGTTTGTGACCCTGATACCTCTATGGTATTTGAGACACAGACAGAAAGACTGGAGGCCTTTTCTATCACTTATTTTAAACACGAGAGACCGTAAGCTCCAGCACTGCACAGAAAGCTTCCACTGGAGAAGGCACATTAACTCTTTGGTGCAACATCTTACAGGAGCAGCAGTACTGCGACAGGCAGCACGTGCTCTTCAGTTAGCCTCATCGTTTGCTCAGTGCTCATTGCAATCTACCCAGCTACAGCAATGGAACCAACAACTGAAGTCCTCTTCTCACCCTTGCAGACAGCAACAACAGCACACAGGCAACTCGTTCCGTCCCCTGTCCATTGGAACTAGGGTAGATAGAGAACTGAAGACAACTCGGTTGATTCCCTGCTGCATTCCTCTGGAGCAAGGACCTGGCTGCAGGTCTGACACATCTCTCAGCAGGACCAAAACAGTAAAGACATCCCTCAGGTACTGAAGTAAATATGATACTGCTGTTGGTACACTGGTCAGCCTCCCACACTGAAGGTTTGAAAATGAATGGCTGTATGAAACTCTGGACAGGAGCTTGATGGTTCGGTACGAAATGAACTCAGAGTGCCATCAGCTGTATCAGCTTTGAGGATATCAGCCTTTTGTTTTCAAAATAGCAGATGAATGAAATAAAAACAAAAGAAAAGCAAAACAAGAAAATCCCACCCCAAATCCGCTGTCCTCAAAGAGGCAACAGCTGACAACGTAATAACAAGTGTTTTCTCAAGTAACATAATTCCAGTTTCTTTAGAGGCTGTGTGGTCTGTACATATGTATAGCAGTCTGTACATCTGAACTAGAGAATTCTTGCTTGGAAGAACAGCAAACTCCATTCTTTTTGTGGGCTCTTTTGTTTTTAAAATCTGAAATTATACTTTTCAGTTAGGGGGAAGAAAAAGAAATGTTTCACTGCAGAGAACCTGCCAAGTACAAGCTCACAGAGCACACCCCAGTCAGACCAGATCTTCCACTGGAACATACAGCATTTTCTCAATTTGTCTGCTCACCACTTCAACAATCAAAGCTCAGTAAAGGAGGATGGGTACTAAGACAAAACAAGTCACTGTCTATAACCAGCCAGCAACTTCTAAAGGCAATAGGATGAAGAGCACTGAAGAATATAGTTAAATGTTTTTCACGCTTACTGCGTTCCCAGTCAAGACAAGGTCAAGCAAGGGAGGGGGGAAAAGAACCCAAACAAACCAATCCTACATCCCCCTTTTGTGACGTTCTTGAGATGATGCCTTATTTGCTATTTTACTGTAGAAACATTTCCCTCCCCAACCAGTTTTGCTCGGGTTTGCAAACAGAATCTCTTCTACATCACTTTGGAAATCTTCAGGAAAGATCTGTCACAGCCATTTCAGTTAGTGGACCAGGGCAGTGCATAGGAGGGAAGACTCAGAAGAGAGTTAACATCTGAACTGCTATAAAAAGCTCTTGAAAGTGTATTCTGAACAAGGTTGTTAAACAAGCACCCTACAGACTCCTGAAGGCCCAGCGCCCCTAAACTTCACCCACAGAAAGTGCACTTTCCCTCATACTGAGGGGGAAATGGGGATATGAAACTGGGCAAATAGCTTATCACGTTCCTCTTGAATCTAACTCGTAATTTCCACCCGGTTGAGGAAGATCTCTTGTTGCATTTAATTTTCTAAATAAAAGACATTAAAAAAAGCCTTTTGTGATGGGAAGATGTAAATCTATTTCCTGCTACTGAGGAAGTTCCCCAAAGGGAAAATACTGTAACAGTTCCAGTTTAACAGTGAGCTTTCACCCTTCATAATGTGCTTCCTTTCTACCTAGAGAAGAAAACAGTAAGAAGCCAAGTGTCAGGCTCCCCTTTGGCAGCTCGCTTGGTCCCACAAAGACAGGTTAAGGGGAGTCCTGATCACGTTGAGTTTTGCTGTATACATTTATAGTTTCTTCACTTATCACTTTCTCCAGAGAAAATTCCCCCTAAAGTAACGTGACACACAAGTTCTCCCCCTGCCATTTGCCTCAAGAGGGAAAGTCACCAGAGATACAAAGTGAGACACGGAGAATAATTAGTCCCTTTATCAGATATCATCCTGAAAACCCCATTACTGAGGGCTGTGCTATTTCTAGAGAGAAAGAACTGCCACTGCCATGGCCTTCTCTTCACACACTCCGGTGCTATCAAGAGCTGGAAAAGACAACTGCAGTAATACCCAATAAATACTGATTTCTGCTAATCCATTTTATCAGCACTGTGTCCCAGCCCACCAGCGTGACAGGATCCTTCATCTCATACTGGACAGAGGAGACACCAGCCATGGGATCACAGCTCTCCCACAGTCCCAAACAGCCACTCAGCAGGTGGATGTCAGAACCTCCAGGAGAAATTAGACATGCTCTGCTGTAGCTGTCCAGCTTGGATAACACAAGTAGATTACAATTAAGGAGTGTCTCATTCAATTATATTCCCATTTATGCCGGGCAAACTCCTCTAGGTTCCCCAACCCAGTCATCCTTGGCCCAGGACCGAATCAGATGAGCAAGTCCCCAGGCTGCCCTGCCACCACAAACTGAATCAATACTGACACACAGTGCTGAGCCTCCATGGGAAAACAGCTGTGCTACAGCAGCAGGGCCCTGCACCCATCCAGCTTAGTGAACCCAGACACTTTGCTCATATATTTTGCTTTAAGGTTTAACAATAACAATTCAAATCCAGCCAACTACCTACGGGATGGCTTTCAGCTTTCCTTTTCTCCATATGCCCGTAACACAGGCCCCTCCCAAACTTTAAAGGAAATCCATATCTCCTCTATGAGCAAGTGCTTCAGATATCCTGTCCATCTCAGCACTTCAGAAGCTTCTCAGCATGTCTGCAGATAAGCCTTCTCGGAGGACAGTTAGTACACAGTGCAGAGGCATCAGCAATAACACTGCAGCACCTACTGCACCATGCTACATCCTGACCCCACCTGCAAGATAACGAAAAATCAGCTCTGCCCTAGAGCATTCCAAAATTAAGTGTCTTTTTATCTGTATGTTCTGCCCCACATCCAGTCTGTCTAAACCAGAGAGCAGCTCAAAGCAGCAGTATTTAAAAAGGAAAAAAAAAAAAGCTGTTTGGAGGATTCATTCTAACATCTGGAGGTAGAGGTCCGACCCCTCCCTTGATTGCACTTCTTGCTCACGGTAGGTGCTCGGAGTATTAATTGGAAAAGAAGTTTCCATCTGGAGGTGACAGTGGTGGAGTTGGCATATTGCTCGATCCCACAAATAGGCAGCTCAACTTCGGCTTCAATTCGTTCCAAACTTTACTCATCTGGGAGTAGAAAGGGAGAGGACACAAGCAGGAGAACGAGGTAAGGTAGGAATTCACCACTCTGTATTTTAGCAGCAGTTTCAAGATACCCAACAGCACAACACATGGAGAAGTCCAGTGTACCCAGAGCATCTCTTCTAGATGGTGCTATAATGACTGAACAGAAATCTTTCTTCAAAAAGGCTTACAGGCGAGCCTTGATCCTCACCCTTCATTGAAAATACCTCAGGTGACTTCTTAATAAGTAATGAAAAATCCCATCTGAATTGATCATTAGAGGAGGAAGACCCACAGGAGAAAACAAATCAGTTCAAAATTTTCATTGTGTTTTGGGAAAAAGGGCATAGGTCAAGGAACTCACCTCTTTGTGGCCCTGGATCTGGGAATTGACAAAGGCCCCCAAGATGTGAGATGTGAGAGGCAGATAGATATGGATGAGCTGTGTCTCCTGGTGCAGGCAATACAAAGAGAAGTAATTCCGAAGCTCCATAGTTAGGATGGCATTCTCTTGCTGAAAGAGAAGGAATTCAGTGAAACACAATGCCAGGAAGACAGTGCCAAGGAGATCCATTTGCAGCAGGAGAAAACAGCATTCCTCACCACCTGGCAATTCAAACACACAACAGGAACCCAAAAAGGCAGCGCCTGCGCTCACATGACATGACAGCAACTGCACTTTCCATCACACAGAATATTGCTTTCCTCATCTCCTGAAAACGTCACGTTGCCAGAGAACCAGTAATAAGTCCTGGTAAATAACTGAGGAAAACAAACGTGTTATCCTTGTAGCACAGCAGATAGCTCAAATGACTCAGGTAGCAGATACATTTCCAGGCTAATGGCTCTTTGCAGATATGACTGAGCTGTGCCACTCTTTGCTTTCCCCATGCATCTGCACTACCTCCACAATTCGAGATTCCAGTTGCTCCACTGATTCTGGTTCTTTGTTCTGCACAGTGGCACTCATCATCTGCTTCTTCATCATGCTGTACTTATGCAGTGCTCGCTGGTGCTTGTGCAGTACTCCCTTCTCATGTCTTTCACACAGGTCCTTTATAGAGGAAAAGAAGCAAATAAAAAGTAGGTTCTGAGTGGAAGCAAGGCATAGTGCAAAGGGACAGCAAGCAGGCAAGCCATTTACATCAGGAACATAAAAGACAGTCATGCTTTATGCTATTTCTATGCTGCAGATATTTTTTTTTTCTTCTTAGGAGGGTAAAAACGTTAGCTAAGAATTCAAGAAACAGAAGTGCCACTTAAGCTCAGTGGCACAGGTCCAAGCAATCTAGAACACCACTTTGGCCAACATTTTGGATCTTATCAGACCACTTATCTTCCATGACCTTCTCAATATTAAGTGCTGGCAATTAACTGTAGCAATAGCTTCCCAGTGCCCTTCTATTTCAGTCCCAGCATGCGAATGTCAGGAGAGGCTGCCAAGTACAGTTCCACTAGGTGCTTCTAAAAGAAGTGCCTTCGACTGAGAGATTGATATTAAAACAATTCTTTTGTTTGTAGCTGAGCTCACAAATTGTCTCCACTGACAGAACATCTCATTCACTGGTTTGACTCGAAAGCAGTCAAATCTGGAAAAAGGTTGGCTGACCCACGCAATTCAAGCAGTCAGATTTCTGAGTTCCTCCCAGATGTGTTTGCCATTTGGCAACATCTCATCACAGGAAAAGCTGATCAGTAAGCTATGCAGCTAACTAAGGCTAACAGCCACTCCCACCCCTCTGCCACATCCGCTCTGTGCCTCCAAACTGCCCTCCCAGACACTTTTCCATCTCATTGGCATCACACCCTCTGAAGAGCACAAGCTCTAAACAACTTTTTCACTGGCAGAAGAACGGCAAAGCTCACTTTATAGGACTGGAGTAAATCCAGGAAAAGGTTCAGCTTCTCCACCACATCATTCTCTTCCTGTTTACCCTAGAAAACAAGGAAAAAGTACATTTTACGTAAGCCTACCAAGCACCAACATCAGAGTTCTTCAAATCCTTACCCCATGCAGGCCCTCCACAGTACTCCCTAGGGCATATCAGTGCTTACACAACTGCATCAGAAACCTTTCAGACGTAACAGTAGTGCTCAGTCTCCAGCACGCAGAACAAAAACCTGAACTGGAGTGAGAACAGCTATTCCAACTGACTGATTATTACAACCAGAGCAGTCAGTTTCCCAGCGCTGTGTGCCAGGCCTTTCAACTCTCTCTGCCTCAAAATTTGTTTTTGTAGACTCCTCCAATTTTTGACTTTCCTTCTTATAAGATTATTAATCTGTTAAATCTATAAATACCTGCATATTTCCCGTAACAGTTTGTGCATCAGAAAGCATAAATGAGACACCAAGCTAAATTTGACAACTTTTTTTTTCCCCCTTTTACTAAACAGTGCCTTTTCTTCCCGTGTCAGTAGAGCTCTCTGGAACAAACTGGAGAAAAAGAGCTGGTCTGACTGATCTATAAAAGCACACTGAATATTTTAACACACTAAGATGAGAAGACAAAACTATTACTTTGCTTCCCAGACTGTCACGATCTCACACTGCTCTGTCAGTACCACACTGCACATTCACACAAGGCACTTCTGTCTGAATGATTCTCATGTTTTGTCTAAGTAACACGAACGTCAAAATTTGATTCAGAGGTTCTGGATTCTCTGCAGCAGGTAAATCACACAGAACACAGGCCTTCTGGACAGCTCAGTACAGCAACACAACTGCACTTGTCTGATAACCACCTGAAAGGAAAAAAGAAAGCAGGCTTTTCCCTCCTTTCCTTTCTTCCCCCATTCAAACAGCCAGCTCTTTCATTCACACCTGAACAAGCAGGCTGGTGGCTGAGGATGCAAGCTTGGATTACAATCTCCCTTTTAACTTTTTAAATGTCTACACCTGTAGAGCTCACGATTCAAGATGAAACATAAGACAGCCATGCACCTTCCTCATTATACAGAAAGGAACATACAGAAAAAAAATGAACTCACCTGCTGCACAGCTTTATCTGCCAGAAGTGCAAATTCAACAGACAGACCCTTCAAGGCCTGTTTCAAAGTCCCCCACGTGTTATTATTCAAAGCAGCCCAGGAAGGAAGAGGTGTAGTGTCTGAGCCCAAAGCACTAGGAGAACAGAATTAATGATTAAGTTTAGGAAACAAACTCCACTTGGTAGGTGCACTAGTTTGCAGAAAGCAGCTCAGAATTTCAAAGAGCTCACAGCACAGAGGTACTAGTGCACAGTCACAGACACGCTGCCAAGTATATTCTGGAAGGAGAGACTATTGCTATTTATCTCTGTTGGTCTATGGAACGCAGCACAGGTTTTCTTCTTTTTCAGTTAGGAGAACTTGATTAGGGCATGCAGCATGCATTCAAACACACACTCTCACTAGACCGTTTGCAAGTAAATCTCACAACAGCCTTCAGTTCCAAAGCAACAGGAGAAGCGTTCACATGAGCAAATCTTCTTCCACCCAGCCTACCTTAGTTCCTTCCCAAATATGAGGAGATCTGAGGCGTTATCAATGGCTCGAGATGCTATCCTCTCTGCACGGTCCCGGAGCTTGTAGAAGCTGTTATAAATATTCCGGATGAGCTCCCTGCTGGCAGCAAACTGGGCCTGTATGTCAGCTGGGAGGAAGTCCTGAAGAGGCACAAGGGAGGTTACTAGTGGGTACATGAGAGGCATTCACATATCACAGCCGCAGGCGCACCAGACAGTTAGGAGAGAGACAAACACCTCTGGCACTCTCTCCCTCCGTGCTGTGACAACCCTGGAGAGATCAGGGTTATAATTAGGATATATAATTTTAAAAATTAGGATGATAATTTAGATATACATGTCAGATGTCACACAAACACCCCCAAATCTCAAAGGCAGAAAGAGGTTCAAATACAGATACCAAAATGCACAACTCTACTACACAGAGCAGGAACTGGGAGGTTTCCAGTTCAACGATTCTGATCAGAAGCTACTAATAGCTGCCAGCACTGCTAAGGTGAGCACGTACTCAGAGTTCAAATAAGTTCTTTCTGACCTGTGCATCACCAGTAGAGCCTCAATTAAGCTTCAATTGCAAAACCTTCTGCTAGCAGTACCTGAACCTGAACAACCACTTCAAAATTGCTCAATGAACAGTAAATGTATACTTAGAGTTCACCACAGCACTGATCACTGGGATAAAGAGATCAATGCAGAACTTCCACCTGACTTCTCTAAAGCAATCCAAATTACTCTCCCACAGTGAGAAATACAGAAGGATGACTCGAACACAAGAGGACATCGGTCTAGATATTAGCTCTTAAATCCTGTTATGCAAGCATTTACTAAAAATCGGGTTCAGAGCAGGATTTGTTGTCTCATGTTCACAAACCAGCATTTAGGTAGAACTATCAGGCTCAAATATTTATTTCTGTTTCCTAAGAAATTAGGAGTCTGAAAGTCCTTCCAAATCTGGAAACAGCTCTCTCCTTGCTAAGGGCTCTACCACCAAACAAACACCAGAACTGATCCACCTGGAGAAGAGAGACATTTAAATCAGCATTAAACGAGGTAAGCAATGTGCATACATACCTTGGCCTGGGTGGCCAATCTGCAGGTCAGAAATTCATCTCCCACTCCCTGCACCAACTCTCTTAGTTTATTCTGTACATCCTAAAGGAGACACAGTTCTTTCATGCTCATTTGATTCTAAGGAAAGTCAGCCTACACAGGACTCTCACATTATAATAGTAAGTCACAATTTATCAGATTGAGCTTTTTTCAGGCTAAGTTTAGTTCGAGGGGAATTGCCATCAGTATTCTCCTAATAACAGTTACCATTTTCAAAATATTGCATTCCTGGCTTCAAATGAACTTGCATTCCACTTCTCAGCTACAGAAATATCATATAATTATTACAGAACTACAGAATGCCTTATGTTGGAAGTGACCTGAAGGATCATCAAATTTCAACTCCCCCATCACCAGCAGGGGCACCAACACCCAGACCTGGCACTTGATCAGGCTGCCCAGGGCCCCATCCAGCCTGGTCTTGAACAGCTCCAGGGATGGAGCACCCACAGCCTCTCTGGCTGAGAGAAAATGTTAGAGAGCAACAACACGTAGGTCAAAAACAACTCTGAACTCTGCTCAGGAGAGCAGTGACAGGAAGGTGTGCAAACTGAGTTTTATCACCAACAAATACTCACTGAGCCACTGAATGACAGAAAGAGCTTCAAGAGCACATCTTCTGAGAAGGGGGGATGTCGAGCCACCAGGTTTATGAAGCGCTTCAGAGCTCTCCTCCTTGATTCTATGAATTCTCGATCGGCTGCAGGAAGGAGCACCAAATTTCAATTAACAGAGTACAAAATTACAGTTGCTCAGAAAGAAAAAAATAAAAATAAAACATTCTGTCCAGTAATTTCCTCAGTAATATTCCAAGGTAATAACCTTGCCAAAGCACTTGAAGAAAACCAAAGAATGGTTCAACTATTCCCTCAAGTGATGCTTCATACCTTACCGAAATATCCTGCATATATATTCACGTGTTTATTTCCACAGGACAGGTCAAGCAAGCAGGTTAAACAACTGATTCTAAGACCAGAAACCTCTACTTACAAAGAAAAGGTTGGGTTTATTCAGCTGCTTTGCCAATATCTGCGCTTATCTTTTTCCCACAGTAATGAAAGTGCCCTGAAAATCTACATTTCAACCTGCAGTACATCCACCCAAAGGCCTTCCTTGTCCAACTGGAAGGAGTTCAGCTCATCTTCCTTCCCAAAACAGGAAGGGTTTCAGTCTGGTGGCAATGCAGTAAGGCTGCACATCAGAGATCCCAGCACCTTTGCAGGAAAGGTGAAAAAAATCAACTAAAATAAATCTGAAGGAGTAGAAAGTAACATCACTTTCTGCCTTAAAGTTTTGGACTACATCAGGACTGTTCTACTAGCATTTGTTCCCATTTCTTTTGAGACATCTCACATGTATGAGAAGAAACGCTCCAGTGAACACAAAGAAATATCAACACATCAGAAATGCTAGGAAATACAAACAGACAGGTTTTATGTATTGGAAACATCTTTCAAGCATCTTGTCTCTGCTAAGATAGATCAGAAAGGTCACTTTGTTTATAGGTGTTGCATGAAGCAGAAATCCTGGAAGTCCCAGCAGAGAGCACTAAATCAGACCAACTTCAAAGATTAGTTTTCACAACCCCGAAAGAAAGATCATTTCAGCTTGCACTCCATTGTAAAGAGTGACCATTGGAAGTTCCCAATAATGTTATTTTGCTTGGTTCTGGCTCACTACAAACCCATTTATCAGCTCCTTTTTACTGTAGCAATACATGGACTCCTCAACTAAAATCAACTATTTACTGAAACATTTTAAACTTAGCAGCAGGGGCAGGAGACAAGGCAGTGAAAAGCACATCCTTCCGCAGATGAAGCGAAAAACAAGATAGGATCTTATACAGTTGTGCAACATTTTAACAGAAGTTTGAAAACTGTGCCTACAAAAACGTCAGAGGAGCTTTGATACACCTTTTGTTTTGGGTTACTTCATTGGTTTCTAAGAGCTACAGCACACTTGAGTGAAATGGCATCGATTCCAGCCTTTTTTTTTTTTCCTTTCTAACCTTAAGCAGATTGACAAGCTCCTTATAACAGGAAAAAAAAAAAATCAAGAGGGAAATGGTCACTTCAAGGCACTTGGTTAATCTGCAAGAAGGACACCTTTGTGTAGGTAAGCTCAAAGCGTGGTTAATGTTGCCATAAGGCTTCTGTGTGAGGAACGCTTCCTGCTGAAGCTGTTCACTTAGCATCACCAGGCTGCCAGTCCTGAACTGAGCTCTTTCAATGATTTCCAGTGATATCACCTCGATCACGCTCACACAACAAAACAAAGACCCAGGTTACCTCCCAGCATCCTCTTTGGTGGAAGTGCTGGCACCATTCGATACGGGAACTTCTGCAGCAGCATCTCATGGAACACCACAAAATCATTGTAGCGCCTGTAGACCGAGCATTTGAATCTCTGCAATGGAGGAAGAGAGAAATAACAACTTGAAATCAATCCATCAATCCAGGCTGGACAATCAGCAGCGCTTCCACAACTTCCTAACATAAGCTGTAGAAAGGAAAGGAAAATCACACCCAGATTGAACAGAAATGAAATATTCCTCATTTCTAGGGGCTCGTGGTAGGAAGGTGGTAGAAAATACTGCACTGGAACAGCTTGTAAGGAAGACTACTACAACTCTATGTTTTCTCATCACTTTTGCTCTGCAATCACCCACCACTTCAGTGGCACTATGCATTTTCAGAAGTAAGGAGGCAGATAACTGGAGCACAACAGGAACAGCCCCTAGGGCCTCCCTTGGTCTGATTTGAAATCTGATGCTGATTTGCATTGCAGTTCCTTGATGAAGATCAAGGGCAAGTTATTCTACTTCCTGCAGAAGCATCTACAGCTAGAACTGAGAGGGATGAGAGCAACTGAGATGAATTGGTAATGGATTCCTAAATTCAAAACCTAGAGAGAACCAGCAGAGTCCTTTAGACCAGTATCTTGCAGTCATGGGCTAAAAACACTGCATCCTCAAGAGGCCACAAACATTCACTCTGTTGCCATTTCTCCCATACAACAATCTTTGATGATCTTCCAGACATTAATCTAAAGCCATAAACGTCACCACAAATAAGTGATGCCAAATATGTACAGCAGTTCAATTGCTGCTCAGTAACTGTTGTTTTTTTTTTGTGGCCTAGGACATGCAAATTGCTCACAGTCTACTTGGAATAGATTACTCTGTTGAAAAAAGCTACCCAGTCTACTGGAGAGCTGTATCACCGTCCAATCCGTATAAAGGAAGAGATACATCAACTTGAGTGTTTGCCAACCCCACAGTCAGAAGCTACAGGTCAGGATTAGAACAACTAAACTGGAAATGAATGGCCCCGACTCTGCAGAAGGATTTTTTGTTTCTGTAACTTTTCTGTTCATTAAGGATTTCAGTTTAGCACCTGCCAATATCATTTCTTCACAACTTCTAAATAGCCTGAAACACAGGATAATGGAATAGTTGGTTTTTCAGTGTTATACATCTGGTTTTGTACAGAGCTCGCGTTGCAGGTGTGTCTGGTTAGCCAGTAACCTGAATATTACCCAGTGACTTTGCAAAACTAGCTGACGGTGCATCAGACCTCAGCTAAGAAGCCGTGCCACACTGCAGAAGCACTTGTCAAGAAAGTATAAGCCAGTGCATTGAAACCCACCCCATCCACCCAGCCTACTCAAAGCAGCATCATCCCACAGAGCAACTCAGACAGAACTTTGCCAAAAGCAAGTGCACAGAGATCCTCAGAGGACATGGCCTCACTGAAACCAATGCTTGCTCACGTTACCTTGCTGGAAACTTCGTATTCCACATGTTTCAGAAAAAGGCCTTTCTTCTCAGGTATGAGCTCCACCTGCACGCTATCCTTGCTCAATAGCTCTTGCAAGGTGTGGGGAAGCAGCAGTGGATTTCCTGGGGGTGCCTGCATTAGGAATTGTTCCGGTTCCCGCGTTTCATTTACTGGAGGCTTTGCAAAATCTGAAAGGCAAAAGGGGATAAAACAAGCTGTCCAACAGATCTCGAGATGATACAGCAAAGGGAGACTTCAAGTATTCCGTTCCCTCTCTCAGAGTTCCCACAGTGGTGCAACACCACCACAAGAGCACTCGAGCCACTCCTCCCCCAGGAGGCTCTGCTACTTCCCACACGTTGGAGACCTCGGTGCCTCCCTCTGCACTACACCCAGAAGCACCACCAATTATATCGAGTCAGGAAGCCATCTCTACTGAGCAGAAGAATCACGGGCCAAATCCATGCCGTGATTCAGCTCGGAGGCCTGTGTTTCCTGTCTGTCCAGCTCCCACCACAGCAGGATCTGCCAAAATGAATGAAGCCCTGGCTCAGCACTTTTGGATCCTGCCTAGAACAAATCGTGGAAGTAAAGAAAATGTGTTATTTTACTGCTCTGCAGAAAGTTATTACATTCATTGCACATACCATTACAAAGGAAAGAGACACTTTGTTTGACATTGCTATATTAAATTGTATGACAGTGTGCTGGAGCGTGCATGACTTGCAGTAATTTACTATGTCAGTATGTTTAAGTTCAATAGCAGCAGGAAACAGATCCTAGCAATGTTTATCAACCCCAGAGTTCCTCTATCTCAGCAAGCTCAGGCAAAATCTTACAAATGCATGAACTCTATTGCTTGTAGATAAACCCATCCTGTTTGGTTTTTATTTTGTTGAGTTTGGGTTGTTTTGTTTTGTTTTCCCCACACACTGAATTCAGTCATAGCTGGGCAGCTTCGGTCTGAGAGATCCTAACTAACTCACAGCAAGATGCAAAAAGGAAACAAAGTGGCTGTAACAGTATGGCCATGAAGAGGGCACACCAAAGGGAGAAGGAGGAAGATTCCGAGTGCTCTCTTCTTTCTGAATGACCAAACTGAAGTCCACTCTCTGAATTTGACTTTGTAACTGTATGTTACATGATTGTAAAGCAAGCTCACATTCTTCTGCAAAGCAATTTTTTTTTCTACCCATTTTACACAGAGGAGAAGACAGAAAATATGGATATAATCCTGGAATCTATCCAACCCACACCTGGGTTCTGCTCTCCTGTCTGGAACAGACGAGCTGCTTCCTCTCCAAAGACGTCTGTCTAAGAGATATGGTGAGCAAGCTTTTTTTTACAAAGCAAGTTGAATCCACTAATGAAAAACTGCTTAAAGCTGTGGAGTATTAACCATTCCCTCACTGCAAGTGTGTGGAAGTTGCAGCCCTTTTTAAACACATCTAAAATGTTGGCAGCTCAAGACTACAGTAATTACAGCAGCAAGAATCCTCCCTGCAAGCTTTGATACATAGTTGAAAAGGTTGGTATCTGCCTTAGAGGTTCCTTCAAGACGACACAGATTCATAACCTCAACTTGAAAGCCCCGATCTTCTCCTAAGGGTTTCCCACCTGTTCTGGCTCTGGAAAATGGAGAAAGCAGGCAACCTCCAACTCCTTAGATATGCAGCTTCAGTCTTTGTTCTGTAGAAGGGCTCAAAGAGTCCAACCCAAACCCAGGACAGATGACCTTACCCCACACGTCTTGTCAGGCTTCGGATTCCTGCTAACATGACTCAGAGAAGCAAGTCTTAACACCTGCACTTTAATTGAATAATCACCTGTTAACCCCACCTCCAAAGAGCTTCTAAAAGTTCCAGTTAATTGCCAGAAGTCTGTTGTAAAAATACAAGCTAATTCAAGCTGATATAGGACTCTGCTAGATAAAGAGTTAATATAGCTATACTACATTTCAAACAGATGCTGAACTGAGAAGGAAAGGAAGGGGAAGAAAAAGAACTCAAGACGCAGAGAGTAAAGCAAATTATTTCCTAGTGTAATAAAACCTTCCCACCTAATATCTGACTGTGCTGCAGGGTATCAGCAGCCGTGCTACCAAGAGGAAGCATCGAAAACACACAGAGAGCACTATGAAAAGCACAAGGCAGCCTCGCTTCTGGAGCAGCGGCTCTCCAGCTGTTCGCCCTGGTAATTCATGGTGGAATTGCTCACTCGCACGACTGAAACGCAACGTGACGCAGGAGGTTCGGTTATTTCTGCCATGCAGGCACACATGCTTAAACAGATTTCCACGGTCCTCTGTTGCTCAACCACTGGCTCACATTTCAGAGGAAGTCACAGCAAACCGGTCTCCCAAAGAGGAGCTGGTCCAAACACAACCCACCTCTTCTGAGAGCAGCACAGATCTGCACCCTCCTGCTGCCCATTGAGCCTCTCTGCCTGCCTTTCATTGCCCTGCTGGCCAGCTGCGATTCCATGGCACCCACTGCTCCCTGATCAGGGGCTCAGCACCAGCCGATGAGCTACTGCAGCCCTGGTGGGAACAGATCTGGACTACAAGAAAGGATTTAAAGAGGAAATACTGAAGGCTTCACGGCTATCCTTCAAGTCCCTGGATCTGCTGCAGGACTCAAACTGTGCACCACCTGATATTGAGAAGGACTCCCATGTTTACCACAGTGAACCCCACACAGAGATCAAGACATGACGTTCCTTCACTTCAAATACTTTGCCAAGTTATTCCCTAAATTTGTGCTCTAAGACTCATCTACAGGAAATACCTTCTCTTTATCAGTGCATCCGGCTCTTCCCGAAACGCTCTGTAGCTTCTCTACATCCCACCTTGTCTAAATCATACAAATCAGATAACTGTACAGAGTCATTACACTTTTAATTAATAACATGTCTTTCATATTAGCAGGACAGCTAGCCAACACAAACGTGCATCCTCAAACACTGGTCTGAGAACACGACGGTTACTTTGGAGCTGTTAACTTGTTCCAGAAAGCACCACTCCAGCATTAACATTAACCCTGCAGAACAACACACTGCAAGCATTCAGCAGCCCATCCTTCGCCCTGCTTACTGAAGAGTCAATTCACAAACAGCCTGGAGAGCCCCAGCCAGAAACGGTGGATAATACAGGCCAGGCATGGTGGATAATAGTGGGAACTCATTGGTATGAGCTCCTGCGTTCAAGCAATAAAAGGATTTACACGCACGGTAACAAAACACTTAATGCTTCCCATCACGCGCTCTGCTGGAGAACAGCTAATTTTGAAACGTTCCCTTTCATCTCAGATCATCATCTAGCAAAGTTTATATACGTAGAGCTGTAAATGAATACAGGAATGAGGTAGGGAATGGTACCCCGGAACACAGGGAAGCCGATAAAATGAAATGAGCTCTTTGTGCAAGCTATCTCTCAGCCACAGCAGAGCTTTTCAATCTGTTGTCGATAAGACACAGGGAAGCAGCTTGGGGTAACTGAAAACAATTTGATATCAAAATTAGAAGGAATGCACATATGCATACATATACAAACAGGCAGAGAGCAAAGAGACAAGAAGTGGAAGCTTAAAGAAGCGTTTAAAGCACAGCCCAGTTTTTGTTTGCTTCTGAAAGAGAAGAGCTGCAGTAACTGCTGCCCTGTAGGTCTGGTAGCCCTTGGGCTGAAAGTGCACAGGGAACAAAATGGAAAGCTGTGCCCTTCCACGCCATGCATTTCAGGCTCCAGTCAGCACCCAGAACTCACCACTCCATCCCATACCAGCAGCCTCCAAGCCACCCTACAACACACCCTGCACAGCTGTGCCCATCTCTCCTCCCTGCTGGACTGCAGACAGCCAAAGCTGGAGGGCTTCCCTCTGGATTGCAGCTGACTGCCACACGCTGCTCTTTATCAAACTCAGGTGCTAATCCACTGAATGTATGAGACAGCTTAAGTAGAAGGTGCCATGGAATCACTGGTTGCATGTGTAGCGGTCTGACTGTAAGGAGAAAGGAATGTTAAAGAGAGGAATGCCTTCAGGAAAAGTAACTGCTTCCTTGCTGTTATCACAGCCACGGCCTCGGGGGCACAAGGCAGCAACTATCAGAAACAGAGCCCCAGCAGTGTGTATTTCTGTGTGCTGACACCTCACATTTCCACCTGGCAAAAAATGCAGGCTCCACCATGAGCTCCTGGGCAAGGCACACTTACCAGCAATCAGGCATCAGCACTTTCCTTCTGCCTTCTCATGAGAAGCCTCGGGAGTTGTGGAAATGCCTTTCCCCCAGCTGTGCTCAACACATTCCTCCCTGGTCTGAGAATTCTCTTCCAGTGTCCATCCCAGCCCCTCCAAGAGCACACCGTGCCACTACAGCATTAACTCCCTTCCTTTTTATTTTTCATTATGCTTACACAATCTGAAATCCCCTGAAAACTAAAAAAGAAAAAACAGAAGTTCTAGGGGACAAAAAAAAAAAAAAAAAAAAAAAAACCACCTTTCTTCTTAAGGCTTCAGATATTTTTAAGACTGAGACAACAGTACGCAACTCAGTTGTTTCTGTATTTCAAAGGAACTTTAAACCACATCATTCTTACTGGGAAAGGAAAAAGCTGAAAGAATCAGCCTACTTTGTCCAATAACAATGATCCACAGATCTGTAGGTATAAGGAAAGTTTCACTGATTAACAGATGGTGCAGCTGCAGACCAACAATTTGGTTGTAAATCCATGCTGCCCGCTGCCAAAACAAGACAAGATTATAAGTATGCTATCAGAAATGAGACACGGGAACACAGGCTCCAACATTTTACTTTCCTCCTTAAATTCTCCAGCTCCCTCACTCTGGATATCAAGCACATGCTCTGCGCTGGCTGCTCTGCGCTGGTTTTTTCCTCTGTTTTGAGGGCTTGGGGGCAGGCTCTGTTGTTTGGTTGGTTTTTGTTTGATTCTCCAACTAAAATTTAAATTGCTGCTCGGTATTTGGTGCAAGAAAAGCAGCAGTGTAACAGCTCAAAGATAGTCAAGTGAGGTTCTCTAAGCTTCATTTAATAACCGGTTAAGTGCCAGCATTTCTGCATTCCCCTACAGCCATAGGTCTCTAACTGCTTATCACAATCACACTACAGCAGGAGGGAAAAAAAAAAGAGAAAAAGCAAGTTATCTCCTTCCAATATCACAGAGTAAATCTGTATGCCAGACCAGAGAACCAACTTGGAGCTTTGCGCCCTGCTCTTGTAACCATGCTGTTAGATCAAGTGAATTAATTAAGTAATTTCCCAATCTGGGAACACAAGGAACGCATTTCATCTCCCAGTCAGCTGCAGAGTGGAGCTGCAGCAGACACAGAGCGGGATGGAGCTACAAATGTTGAAGAAGTAACAGGATTAAGGGGGAAAATCCATGGAGGAATTTTCACAAAGACTACAGAGATAAAAGCCAACCCGGCTAGGACAGCCTTCAGCTCCCAGTGGAGGCCTGAACTTTTCTCCATCTTCACACCCAGCTCTAACAAAGATGTGTGGAAGTGTGAAAATTGAGACCTAACTAACAAGAACAGATGCAACCATTCTGCAGGAGTTTGCTTGCAGGAAGCCATGAGCCATTGCTACGTCCCATACAAATTCACACACAAGTCTTATACAGGGAGAGTTTATTTTAACCATAAAACTGCCAAATTTCCACAAACACCCCTGTCCAAGGAGACCCTGTCAGAAGTTATCTTCTGCTTTGCAAAACTCAATCCAAGTATTTAAGCACTGCCACTCCAGCCACACCAGTCTCTGGATGGTCTTTTTACTCTTCTTTTTTAATATATTTTTAACAAGTTCATCCATTGTATCGAAATGCTCCCATCCTTTTGTACCAACTCCCTTTCTAACTGCCACGTTGCCCTCCATCGCTCATGCCAACCCACTAAAGCTTGGTGGTTCCGAGGGAAAACAGAGCAGTTCCACTCAAACTCTGCTATCTGCAGTGGGAGCAGCCTTCCCCACCAAGCCTTGGTGACAGCACACACAGCTGAAGATCTACCATCAGAAGGGAAGGGGCAGCCCCCATCCCAGCCAGCACAGCCGCATGAGCTCTCTGCGATCACTGCAAAACAGATTCAAAGGGGAGCAAGAGCCAAAAAAAATTTCAGAAGATCAATACAAGCAAGTCAACAGAAACGACTTCATATACCAACCATTGATTTTTTTTTTTCTTTCCGTTTTTATTGCTTTAAGATACTTCTAATCCTGCAAATCAAAGAATTTGCGTGCCCTGGTCCTGCCAGAACTCCCACTGACAAACTGCTGCTCCCTGAAGAAGTTCAGAATGGCCGCTGGCCTCCCGAGATCTCCGATCCCAAACCAGAACGCTACAAACTAAACAGATACCTCCTTTCACAGCATACTCCTCTTCCACTGCAATCATCAGACGCTCACTCCGTGTTCACAACGTAACCTTTTCCCAAATAAAGCCACATTTTCTAGGGCTGAGCGGAGCAGTTCAGGACCTCCGCCTCACCCTGCCGAGCTCCGGGAGCTGACGCAGAACTGCACAGATGTACCTGGGGGAGCTCTCTCTTTGACACAGTAGGACATTTTTTCCACCAAGGCTGCTGCTCAAAGTCCCAATATCTTACATCAGCCCTGGACAGAAATATTCCAAAATAACGTATTGATTTACGAACCCGTGACGGGCACCAAGAGCACTAGAGGCCCATCAGCACAATCCTCAGTGCGGTCTCCGCTTCGATTCCAAGCGCACCGCTCTCCCCTGCGCACACAGCGCTCACTTGTAACCCCTCCTTCCAGAGGACGGGAGCAAAAAGCTCTCAAGGCAGCGCTCCGGAGCAGCGCCGTGCGGTGACACCGCGCCTCCCGGCCCCCCGTGCCCGGGATCGGCCCCGCGATGGGCGCAGCGCAGAGAGGCGCCAAAGCCTCGGACGCAGCACGCAGCGAGCGGCTCCGGGCGAAATAAAGTCACCGTGGCAGCGCCCGGCCGCGTGGCTCTAAGCGAGGCGGCGCCCCGCGCTGCTCCGCTCCCCGCCCGCCTACCAGCAGAAGGGCTCGATTAACACGGCGCTCCGGCCGCCCCCCGCAGCCCCGACGGGCGCTCCTCCGCCCCGAACCGAGCGGGACGCAGCTCCGCTGCGCCCACCGCGCGTTTCCCACCCGCGGAGCGGAGCCGCCCCTCGCCGAGCCAACGGCGGGCGCCGCCCAGAGAACCCAACCGGCGCCGGGTCCAGCCGAGCGGCCGCCGCCCCGGGCAGAGAAGGGGAAGGCGGCCGCGTTTTACCTCAGGTTTCGGCGGAGGCACCAGCCCTGACTGCCCACCCCGTAGGACCCCGTCGCCCTCCCCGAGCCGGCGGCGCTTAGGAAAGGCCCCGCGGCGCCGACCGCAGCCGCCCCGTACCTGTGCCGACACCCGCGCTGCCCGCGGACGGGTCTCCGTCCATCGCGGCCGCAGTCATGTGAGGCCGCGGCCCGGCGGGCGCCCTCCCCTTCCTCCGCAGCGCCCGCCTGTCAGCGCGGGCGGGGCCGGGTCGGGCCGGGAGGGGGGCGGCGGCGGCGGCGGGGCGCGTGGCAGCGCGGTGCCGGAGTCCTTCGGGTTGGAGAACTGCTGCGAGAGCCGCAACCGAGCGCCACAACGCCGCGCCTCTGCTGAGGTGACCGCGCCGCTCTACGAGCAGCGGTACCAGTGCAGCACCGCTCAGTCTGAGAATACTCGTCTGCTATCCAACCCGTGCCTCCCCTGGCACGGTTTGAGGCCATCCCGTCCTATCAGAGAGGCTCCTCTTGTGTCGGATGTGGGAAGAAGCTTTGGGATTCCACATTCCTACCTGTGATCTCACTCCTGACCTCAATGTAAATGACCCAGCGTTGGCAGTGTGGGGGTTCATGGGTGTAACATAGCCCTGATGCTGGAATCAGACTATATTTTTTTTTTTCCTCTGAAAACTGAAGAAGATGGTTGTAAGACCATCCAGGCACACAGTGACAGGGAGAGCAGGCCGTGCTTCACAGCTCCTGGCAGACGAGATGCACCAACACAACATGTGGTATTTTCTACTGTGGAATTACCCTTTCCCACAGTGTTTCATTCCTTCTGCCATTTGGTCATGCCCTTCAGATGTTTCCTACGCTGAATATTTTACATATTTTGAGGGATTTCAATACTTAGGAACCAAAACTTTACTATGAAGATAATATACTTTTTTTTTTCCCCCTCAAAGGAAAAGACTACAGAGACACAAATGTTTGGAAGGACTCTGTTTCCTGGGATCCCCACAAGTGCGGGTGCAGGCTGAATCTGTGTAAAACCATCAAAGCATGGCACTATTTAAGATGAGAGGCTCTTCAAATCGTGTTTATACAGCAGCTGAGGGCAGAGTTTTGCATGCTCAGCACTTCTGGAAACTAAGCACTGTATCATTTTTTGCCTATATAGCATTTTTTGAGAAAATGAATGGAGGAATCAACATGTTCCTGTGTAACTACAGATCCTTGACTGGCCCGTAGTCCAGCTAATAGCATAACTATTTATTTGGTATAAATAAGACATTCTAACTGCAAATTGTTTTTGCAATCTGCGGAAGGAGTCTTGAAGAAAAATACTGTGAAAGAAATAATCCAATTGCTGAAATAATTTTTGACAAGGAGAAAAAGACTGCTTGACAAAAGTTATTGAACCTGTCCCTGTGTATTGTAAACACAGCAAAAGCTACTGGAAAACCTGTAGCATGAAGAAACTATCACCACTAGAAAAAGGATAAGGCTGATGTCACTAAGTTGCAGGCAACAAAGTTTCACAGAAGTACAGGGCTACCTGAGGCCCTGGTCTTGCAATGGGTCATTCTGTGCATGTCCTATCAGTATGAGATACTACTTCATACAGTTCATACAGATAAGAGCTTGAATACTCCTTCAGGGTTCAGTTTAGGCATCACTGTTTTCCGTTCCATCATTCTCAGGTCACTGGCACACAGTAAAATACATAAAGCATTTCTGCTTTGATAGTTGTGTTGCAAAAAGCCATTTCTGATTGGCCTTCTTACCCCACTTTTCCCACTGATTAGGATTTTCGTGTGTGCAATACGTGCAGGAACAAACCTCATCTGTCAGCAAAAAGCTCTACTTTAAAAGTTGTTCCACTCGCCCTTGGATTGCTGAGTAAGCACTGGCAGACAAAGAGTAACAGTGAGATAGCGGCACAGGGACTGAAGGGAACTTTCAGTTGAAGAAAGGAAATGGAAGGAAGGAAGGAAGAGGAGATAAATCAAAAATTGCTCTAAAGTAAGAGAAAGTGCAAATAGACGACAGGAAAGAAGGACCCAGCATTTAAATTTGCTAATAGCTTGTAAACAGGAAGAAAGGTAATATAGAAAATTCGCCTATCCCAGCAATGTGGGCAACTGTGAAGAGCTGTGAAGGCTGAGTCACAAATGTGCTGTTGGAAAAGCCATGTAATCTCGAGGATCCAGCTGGTCCTCTGGATTGGAGCACAGCATGTCCTCCTATCTGGACAAAAAAAAACAAAACACGTGTTTGTGAGGGCAGGAGGGGCAGCAGCTTTTCCTTTACTTTCACGCATTTACTGCTGAAAATCAGGAAGTCAAAGTCTAGCCAAGCGCCATGACAAAGCGGGGAGAAGCGACCGCAGCGCCAGTCATCGTTTCCATTCATAACACTGCCCGTGGCTTAAAGAGGGAACTGACACACAGCACCCAGCTGAATTGGAATGGAGCTCGGCTGACATCTTGTGGCTACCTGATAAATTACAAACTAGTTTTTCCTAGCTTTTTTTTTTTTTTTCTTTTCTTTTTCACTTTCATCGAAGTTTGAAAGCGGCTGCGCTGTAAGATACGATGCGGACTCGAAATGCGAACCGCAGCGCCCGATCTCCTCACGACGCTTCTATGCTGCCAGTCTGCACCTCAGTGTTCGATGGCTTGAAATACAGTGCAGCGACACACAGCAGCAAGATCAGGAGCTCAAATGGAGATTAATTCTTCCTCAAGAACTGCTCTGATCCTTTTCGTCTAAAGCCATCCCTTAAACCTGATGGCACCAAAGAAATGCTGCAGGTTCTCTGCGTCAGTTTGGATACATCGGCACACGCTGAACATACACACATTTCTGCATCAGCCTGAAGTCTCCTCGGTAGAAAATCATGGTTTAACGAACACAGAGCTCAGCTCTCTGAGCTGGCCGTGCACTCACAGCCCGTTCCCAGCTTACAGCCCCGCTCAACTCCCTCAGCACCAGCCCATCCCCACGCAGGGCGATGCGTTGGCGGGCCGCGGGATCAGCACCGCACCCCCTACCTCCTCAGAAGCTTTGGTAGCGCCGGCGCTCGCCCCGCCGCCTTCGGGCGGGCCCATGGCGGGAGTTCCGAGGAGGGTAAGGCGGCAAGTTTCGCTGCGCTGTGCCGTCGGCTCCTGGCTAGTGCTGGACGCGGGGACGGTCTGAGGCATCAGCACCGGGCGGAGGGTTCTGCCGTCGCCCTTACTGTTAAGCACCGAGACGCGTTCAGCTTTTGGTCTCCCGCGAAATGGTTCGGCCCAACCCCACCTCAGCGAACGGACCAGAGCCGCCATGTTGGGCTCAACCACAGAGCGGCGGAGCGGGGGGAGCTGCAGCCGTGAGCGCCAGGAAAGGACGGACGGCGCTGCCGGCCGAGCGAGGGGGAGTGAGCGGCGAAGGAGGTGGCGATTGCTGCGGGGCAGAGCGGGGAGGAAGCGGCGGCGGTGGCGGACGAAAGCTCCGTCGGGGCGGGGCAGCTTCCCCCCCGCCTTCCAGCCCGTTGGTAGCGGCGGCTCGCGGGGCCTGGCGCACATGGCCCGGCCGTAGGAGCCTTCTCGCCCCTCCCCCGCTCCTTTTCCCGTCGCCCTCGAGCTGGGAACGCGCGGCCGCTGGGGCCCCGCACCGACCCCCATGCAGGGCACTGAGGACAGCCCCTCGCCGCCCGGCGCCCAGGGCCCGGCCGAGGAGCCCGAGCGGCCCGACGGAGCGCCGCCCGAGCCGCCGCCCGAGCAGCAACTGAAGGAGGACGAGAGAGAAGGGCCGGAGGAACAGGGCGGCTCCGAGGGCCCCCTTGAGCAGCCGCCCGCCGCCTCGGAGCCACCCGTCGAGCCGCAGCCGCCTCAGCCGCCCTCCCCTCGGCCGGCGTCCGGCCGGGAGAGCCCCGAGCGGGCCGAGCCTCAAACCGGGCCCGAGGCCGAGCCGCCGCCGGAAGAGGCCGAGAGCGAGCCGCCGGCCGAGCCCTGCGAGCCGCGGGAGGACGGGGAGGCTGCGCCCGCCGAGCCCGAGGACGAGCTTTCCTTCAGCGATCCCGAGGGCTTCGTGGACGACATCAGCGACGAAGGTGCGGGCGGGGGGCGGCGGGCCGGGCTGGGCCGGGCGCTGCGGGAGCGCGGGGAGGCCGTGCCGTGTCCGTGCGGGCCGCGCCCCGCGCTGCCCTCCTGAAACGTGGCGGTGAGTTGCGGTGTGCAGCAACTTGGGACCTCAGAGAAAAACTGCACGGTGACTGTCGTGCGGTGACCCAGCCGTCGTCTGGCCCTGTAAGGCGTTGTGGCAGCAGCTGTCTCTGGTGTAAGGGCGCTAATGGTGCTTCAGTATTTCAGCGGTTTCGGACAAATCTTTCAAGATCAACCGTGCCAATTCTTGAGTAGCAAAGCCACTTGTCTGTTGTGCCAGTCTGACGTAAATGCTGCTGTAGGCTCTGTAATAGTCACACGTATCAGAACCGGAAAAATGCATCTTAAAGCATGCGCTGCTTCCTAAGTCAGCAGGTGGTTTGGATCGGTGGTGGAACACAGGTGATAATTGTGCTTTCTTGTGTTCCAGTTCTATGTTTAGCTTAATAAATAAGTGGAGAAGTATTTTGAATTAAAAAAGCATGTTATTCTTAGCAGTCTGTATAGCACTTTGAACATGTGCATATCTTAGAGACACGTTGGCAAAAGTGTCTGCAAGTTTATCGCTGGATTCTTGTTGTCTGGTGAAGTGTTTGCTTTGGATGCTTTGTCTACGTTGGGGATTATCAGGTTCATGTCAGTGTGTAGGTAGAACCTGGGAACGTTTTCTGTCGTCTTGTGTTTTATTCTTTAGGGTTAATTTGGCTAACTCTTCATCTGTGTGAATAATACAGCGTTAGTGGCTGAATTACAGTGTTTAAGTTTAGTCACTCCTGCTGGTCTGGTTTTCCATCTACCTGTGCTACTTCTTGGGCTACCTTTGTCCTTTTGCTTTACCCTGATAACTCTATAGGAGAATCAATTCCAGGCCATCAGCATCACTGATTCAAAGCTATTTCACTGTTTATGATAAGAATTACATGTTCAATACCAATTTTGAGTCGGACTGGCTTTAAGATTGGGTCATCTCAGGTGTTACTTTGGTATTGGTTTTTTTTTCCCAGAGTGGTGTTGGCACAGCAGAACGGCTGTTCCATCCTACACAGAAAGAATGTGTCAGATCATCGCTCGGG